GATTCATCCATTCATTCTTTGATTCATCCATCCATCCATTCATTCCATTCATTCATTCTTTTCTGTATTTTCCTTATTTTTAATTTCTTTGGATTGATTTAGGGAAGTCAAGGAATTACTGCATTCCACGTGGCGTGCGCTCAAGGATCTCTGGAGATTGTTCAGCTCTTTGTTTCTAAAGATCCCTCCATTTGTCAAATAACATTGATTGACAGCCAAGGCTTAACTCCCCTGCACATGGCTGCGCTCAACAATCACTCAGTCGTTGTACAGTTTCTTTTAAAACAGGTAATAATATATATATATTATTATACATATATATATGTATAAGTAATCATACGGTTTTTCTCTTTCAATAGCCCTTTTCACGGTTAATTTTTCTCATTTGCATTACAATGTAATCCAACGTGGATGCGAGGCAATTTCGGGATAAAACTACAAAATAGCCCGAAATTGCCTCTCATCCATGCTAGATTTTATTGTAATGCAAATAAGCAAAGGTAACCGTGAAAAGGGCTATTTGGAATTCATTTGCACGAGTGAGTTTTTCAAAAAGCTGAAATTGCACGAGCCGCTTATCAATAACATAAACATGAAAAAATTCGCGTGGAAGAAATGCTGGAAGATCTCTCTTTCTCATTTTCTTTCTTTCTCATTCGTGAAAACTTTTTTCAAAGTTCCCGCACAAAATTTTCGTCATCATTTTACGTGATATCATTGGCTTAGAAAATTCCCTATAGTCTTTCAGCCAATCATAATCCAGAATTACGATGTGTAATTTACACTGATGTTACACTTTTTGCACTTGTGTTACACTTGAACTTAACTGCTCTCAGCCAATCAGAATCGAGTAATTTTTTTCACGTATATTATTAGGTGTGTTAAAAGTTGGCATTTGTCGACTTTCTAAAACTACGTCAACTCTACAGCGGTTTCTCTTTTGTATACGTTCTGCGCATTCACACTAGATTTTACGTGATCTTTAATGTATCAATACGCCTTTCTCGTACGGTGTACATCTTACGGTTTAAACTGAACAAGCTCCATCAAGAAAGCTTAAAATCTATGTTCCCCATTCTGCGTTGCGCAGAACGAGTGTCCACAAATTAAAGGAGGCAACGACCTTGATTTAACTGTTTTTCTGTTCAGGGTGCTTCAGTAGACCCTCGTGACAAACTCCGCCGCACCCCTCTCTTCTTAGCAGCCGCCGAGGGCGCAACAGAGTCTGTTAAAGCATTAATTGACGGTGGTGCTGACGTCACGATCAAAGACGTGGACATGCAATCTTGTGTAAGAGTGGCCGTGGAACATACAGATACAATGGAGGTATTACTGCAGGTACGAAATACATCGCTGATTTTATTTAGCCGCTGCAGTTTATGAGGTTCCAATGGCTTCGACAATGTAGACCCTGTTAAAATATTTTGACACCACTGGGATATCTGAAAATGCCGCACTCTACTCGACTGAGTCGTGCCCAGTCGCCTCGTGGAGTACTTTGCGAAGCCCTGGGTATGATAAAAGAGAGCCTCCTCAACCATCACAATATATGGCTCTCTTTTCTAGTGAGAGAAGACTAGGAACCAGTCAAATACTGGTCCCAAGAGCCTCTCGAAGCTAATTTTCCTATATGGACGATTTTAAGTAAATATTCGATGAAGTATTATGTAAAGTTACCAAGCATTTATTTCTACTTAGAAACGCGCCGCTTTCCGATTGATAACTGAAAAGGATATCACAGGATTTGCCCCAGTTCACTACGCTGCCAAATATGGTCATCTCCAGGTAAGAGGAAAATGTCACTTACAACTTGAGTTAAAAGAGTGCAAGGGAGACTGTGCACCAGCTTTGTGCCTAGACTATCTACAATCTGCAAAGGACTTTAAGAAAGTGTAACAATCTTTCAACCATTCCTGCTCTTTTTGGTTTGTTTTGTTTGTTGTTTGTTGTTTGTTTTGTTTTGTATTGTTGTTTGTTTTGTTTTTCTAGTCAGGATTCCGTTAACGCTTTCTTCGATTCCCTATACTATTTCACACCAATTTCATGGCCTAAAAGACCCTTTATTTCTGCAGTAAAATACTCGTAGGTTATGAGTATAACCATTTTGCATAAAGTCAGTACACATTTTAGCGTATTTGTTACACCAACAGAATATCTTATTGTTTATGGAGCGAAATAGAGCGGCCACAACAGTGATGTCATATGGTCTGGATACTGCGCTTCACGGCGCTGCCAGGTACCAAAAATATATTAAAGAAGCTCAGTCACGGTATTTTGAGTTACTCTGGCCGCGTACAAAACTTACTTTTAAATTGAAGAAAAACGGAAAATAGTAGTTTACTAAGATAATATAAAGGAAGAAGAATGGTTAAAGATGGACAAGATTAACCCAGATTACAAACCACCAACTTGAAAATTTTAGGTTAAACTTTTCAAGATGCGCGAACCTTGAAGTAAATTCATCCAAGTCTTGTCAGACTGCACATATGCTAGTTGCCTCAGTTCATTCCACGTGGGAACATATTGCGGGAACTAGGAGAAACGAGTAAAAAATTACAATATCGCGTTTCAGTTTTTGAAGGAAATGGGGCGAGAATTAGGGGTAAAAGGTTGTAGAGAGAAGAGGTTTAGCGCGCTAAAACTCACAAACAATCAAAAGAAACAAATTCAAGTTTTAAATAATACATTTGCTTTACCTTTTAGATATGGCCGGCATGAAATAGTTGAAGCGTTGCTGTCTGGTCGGAATATTCGTTCCATAAACCTGAAAAACAGTCAAGGAAAGACAGCTCTACACTTCGCATGCGTGGAAGGACATGACCGAGTTGTTGAACTTTTGCTTAATCTTGGTGCAACTGTGGAAAAGTAGGCTGAGAGATTATATACTAAGAATAAAAATTTATCAGACATATTTTACAGCGGTTTCCTATTGAGTGTCGTAAAACCAAACCCAAAGTTATCACTCTGGCCAATCACAAAGGACGCTGAAAATTAAGTAAACCAATCAAAACCCGAAGTAATTACGTGTAGATGACGCAAAGCGCGGGAACACGTGGGCGAACGAGTAACGATTGGTTTTGGTTTTACTTAAAAGTGAAATAAAGTGGCGCGAGTTTTGTTTTCAAAATGTTTCTCGAGAGTCCTCAAATTTTTTTTAAGCCAATGATGCAAAAGCAATTAGTTTTCGACTCTCAAGCGAAAACTGCTCTCAGTTGTACATCAGTTGGTCTTTTTATTCAAACTTCATAACAGGACGATGTGGTGTAAACGTCGGTGCTTTGAAATTTGGAGTTTTAACTGTTTTGTAAACCTTGAGATTGGTGTCAGGATGACGCCGAAACGTCGGCTATTTACTCTAATGTTCGCTTGTTTATGTTTGTAAAACTGATATTAGTTAGATTTTTGCCGCAAAAGCGGGAAAAACATAATGCTCTAATCGGCTTGTTGGTTTCGTGAAAGGTCAAGACTGAAAAAGTAACAGAAAAGATAAAAATAACTTTTAGTTACAGTAATAAGAGAACACAAATCAAAATGGGAAAGAATTCCCCCAATAAAGATCTGAGTTTCGTAATTTTGTTTAATTTAATTATAAATGCGCAATATTAAAATTTTTGATTAAAGTTAAAAAGGCTGAAGGGACGTTTTCAGTCCAGAATGAATGGGGTGAGTATATATTTTGTGTCAAATGTTTTGTATTTCCTTATGGCATATTCTCAGAGATCACAACGACAGGACAGCACTACATATCGCTGCCATAAGGGGATCCAAGCAATGTGGACAGTACATTCTACAGCGCCACCCTAAATGTATTAACCTCTTTGATAAAAATCAGGTAAGAAAACCTAAAAATGTTATGTTTGAGTGCCGCAGTCGTCATATTGAATCATGAAATTTCCAAGAAATAATTTAAGAAGTCCCGTCCGAAAAATTTTCCAGAACTCATTTTTCGCTGACCGACCATTAACCGACTCGAATCAAACCCCAGGTACCCCTTCCAAACTCCCTCTTTGCTAATGTAATATAATTTATTTTGGAATAATTACGCGTGGAACTCCTTACGGATGAGGTGCTTTTTGATTTGGTTTTAAGAGATTAATTATCTTTCTCCTCTCGCCCAGAACACCGCTTTACACTTGGCCGCCATTCATGATTCCCCAGAAGTTGTCTCGTGCTTGCTGTCTTACCCGGAACAAGAGATCCTTCTGAACAAAAAGAATCATAATGTTCTGGACGCCGCATTGAACGCTGACAGGAAAAATGTGTCACTTGCTATAGCGAGTCACGACAGGTTAGTTAAGAATGTTAGCAGCAAAGAAAGAAAAAATACAAACAAACAAACAAACAAAGAGGCAAATGCCTCCAACTATTCCCTCGCTAAAGTTCAAGCTTGTAGACTAGTTCCAGCTTTGCGCACGTGGCATTTGCGCGTGCGTTGCATGTGATCAAAATACGTCTAATACGATCATGTTCTTTTGAACTGTGAATGTAGTATGGAGGTGCAAGTATTCGGCCGTCGTCATTTTAATGTGATCTTTTTTTGCGGCTCAACTTTATATAGATAAGGGCATAAACAAAATATCGAGAATTGAAATATTAATTTCGGTTTAGGGCAGGGTAGGCTTCAAAATTTTCGACAGTACAACTGTCTGCTTATTTTCTATTTTATTTTTTATTTTATTTTTTCCATTTTCTATTTTAAATTCTTGCGTTTACTGTAGTTAATAGATTATAAAAGGGTGGCATATTAACTCTTGATATATCAAAATATATTTAAGCATCTCTTCTTGCTTTTCATAGATGGCGCGAAGTGCTAACGTCATCAGCTCCAGGAGACATCGTAACGATGCAACATCTTGTGATAAAAAAGCCAGAAATTGCTATAGTAAGGCAAAATATACTCTAGCGTAGTAATGACTTGGGGTTTGTTTGAAACCTTATAATACATATTAGGATTTTCTCAGATTTTCGGTATAAACAAGTTATGACTATGTATGCCTTTTTTGTTCGCCTTTCTAGCGGTTTATGGATCAGTGTATTGCAAAGGAAGGAAACCCCGACAGTGAAGATTTCAAAGTGAGTTTTGTTATATTTTTTGATATTTCGCATTAAGATGATTTATAGCGCAGAAATTGTCATTTTATTTACGTGAAGATGGCTCTAATATAGAATCAGAACAGTGTCATGTTACATGTAGGCATGTTTGTTGCAGTAATATTCTGTACAGTGGGATTTTCTATTCTGACTCGGTTGTTCCTCCCGCTGAATGTGGTAGAGCCGTGGACATATAAAGCGAGGATATCGCGGTTCCAATACCAGCTTGAATCAATGAATTTTTCACTAGTCGGGATTCCCAGTGTAGAATTATCATCTATATTTTTGTAAAGAGATTTCTCCTAGCAGTTTATCTTCCGAAAGGAATGTACGCATGCAGCCCAGACATTTCAGTAATTGCATTATAATTGTTGGTGTTACCAGGTAACATATGATTTCACGATGATTCAAGGAGCAGAGCCTGGGCAAGATCCTTTGGCAGTACTGAAGGTACGAGAGCTTAGGTTGGTTTTTTCCCCCTATTAGACAAGATTTTGTCCTTGCAATTAATTTTTTCTATCTGCTTTTTATCGCAGACCATGTTAAAGCATCGTCGCATCAACTGTTTGAGCCACCCTGTTTGCTATAACGTTATGAGTATAAAATGGTAAAGACAGTATCGATTTAATTTTAGTTTATCCTTAATATATACTTCTTAGAAAACCTTTGCGTACGAGCGAGCTTTTTTTCACCACCACCCTCTTCATCGAGTTTTTGTTCTCGCCCCACTTTTCGCGCGGCCAGAGGGGCATAGTATGTGACAATTAGATCATAAGCTCGAGATTTCCATCACGCAAAGAAATTGAGAACGAAAAATCGAATTGTTTTAATATAAATCTACTAGTCGTGTAAAACTTTATTCAAATCCTCTTTACAAACACTTCGAAAACGCAAATCAGTAGCCGCCATTTTGTTAACAACCGCACACTTCAAGGCTACTCATTTTTTAGCACAGAACAGATAGTGAGTAGCGTAGCCAATAAGAGAATGGCATTCGCGATAGAACGCTAGTAGATTTATAGTAAATGTTAATATTGTAAAGTCAACGTGATCTTCATTCAGTTGCCAAAACTAGCTCGTTTTAATTCGTTTTTAATCGTTCCTCCAAGATTCAAGTAAGATTTTCGAAATTTTCGTGAAAGAGGTTGCTAAGTGCCAGCACGAACCCTTGTACCCTCAAACTCATGGGACAACGTTCGGTGTAATACCAAGTACTCGTGTCACACTTCGATTGGTCGATAGCAATCGGAAAGTCTGACGAAGATTTACCGAAAACTTAATTTTTTTCTCTCGCCTGTACTTAATCAAAAGAGTTGTTAAACGAGAAAAATAGAATGTTTGGTGATAAGTTTCTCTCTTTCTTAGTCAAGTTGTTTTCAAATTGTTTCCCGTCCAGGCAGACGTTTGGATGGAAATCTTTGGTTATCAACATGCTTCTGTATCTTCTGTTCGTTCTTCCGCTGACCGCTCTTGCTCTTTCCACGCCAAGCTTGAATGTGGCTTGAATGAAACCATGCCAAGAAAGGTAACCAGTTTTGGCAGGTTTTTTTTTTTTTTTTTTTTTTTTTT